TGTGATTTTAAAAACCTTTGCTGTGTAGGCACTGATACCCCCCTTACCAGCATGGCCCCATGAGCCCTGCCGGTCCTGGATGATAAGAGTCCATCACTGGGTCATACCTGAAGTCTTTCACAGTGGGTCTGAGCCATCAAAGCGGCTCCTTCAACACAGCATTTCAGGAACTGGGTCAGCTCTGCGCATGATGCAGCATCAGGGGACTCCAGCTGGGTGCCAGGCTGACACGGAAGCCTTGGAGACCTCTGTGGCGTTGCCACCCGAGTCTGCCCAGCAGTCATAGGGGCTAGCCCATGGCCTGCCATACAGTTGACAGGTGGGTGAGATTTGGCCAACATTTGCTAAAATCTCAATATGATGAGGCTGCCATGGTTCCCTGATCTGCCTGACCTGTTCTTGGTCAGTCCACTAGGCTGGTCTGTTGACTTTGCTGCTTCCTTCTTAAGCCATCTCCTGAATAGGATGGTCACAGAATCGCAGAATGGGGGAGCTGGAAGGGCCAGCTCCCAGGAGCCATTAGACCAATTCATCCATAAGAACACGCCTATTGAGAGTTCTCCCAGCCTTTGCTCAAGGACCCCATGGAAGAGGAGCTCTTTGCACTTTGGGAAACCCTCACTGCTGGGGAGCTGTTTCTCCTAGCCAAACGTCACTGGGCCCTTTGCCACTTTCCCTCATTGTTTCGGGGTCTAGCTCTGGGACCATCTAGCACTCGCCTCATGTCTTTTCCAATCTTTCCTGTATTGAGGAAAAGCCTGTATTGAAGAAAGCCATGATGTCCCTCTCCCCTGTGGTTCTTAGACAGAAGCTCTCACCCAGGCTCCTCTGCTCTTGTCCCTGAATTCTCTCATGGGAATAAACATTCTTAACATACTAGGTTATGCTTGACCTCTGGCTTCTCCGGAATAAAAAGAACCCACGAAGAACCATGGTTCGTTCTGTCCTGCACCTCATCCAACCAAGACCGAAAACTATGGAGTTGGAAGACCTGAGTTCAAATCTTGTCCTTTATATTAGGACTTGTGTGGCCTGGGCTGAGTCCCTTCTTTCCTCATATGTCAATGATTCCTGCTCTAGATCTGGGGTCCTGGAACCTCACTGAGCCTCCGTTTCCTCCTTTGTAAAACGAAGGACCGGACTGGATGACCCCAAGGTCCCATCTGATTCTAGACCCAGGGTCCTCCTGGGTTAGGTTTGCATTTCATTTGTGCACTCCATTCACTAATAGAAGCTGGGGTGGGGGTAGGGGTGGGATGGGGGTGGGGGTTGACTCTTGGGTTTGTTTTTGGTTTTTGGATAATGTATCATAGCTGGAGTTGGGAAGACATGAGACCAAATCTTGCCCCAGAACCTTATTAGTTATGTGACTTTGGACAAATCACTTAGCCTCTGTAAGCCTCAGTTTCCTTAACTGTAAAATGGGAAAAATGCTAGCACCTACCTCCAGAGTTTCTGTGAGATATTTGTAAGAGCTTTGCCAACTCTAAAGCATTGTAGACTATTAAGTGCCTACTGTGCGCCAGGTAAGTGCTGGAATGCAAATAAGCAAGAGAGTCCCTGTCCTCAAGGCGCTTACAATCTCATGGAGGAGGCTGAAAGGAGTAGGGAGCGCCTCTAGCAGGACAGATGACAGGGACGATGGGCATGAAAGCGAGCTGAGCCGCTGCCGGTGCATGGGGAGAGGCCTGGGATTTGGAGCCTTCCTCAGAGGGAGACTCCAGTCAGGGGGTGGAGGAGCTGGGGGTCAAAGCGGATGCCGCCTCGTGGGCAATTTGGCTGTCCTGGGCAGGGGCGCAGACCATGCCAAAGCGCCCAGCTGGTGGGAAATCTGAACGCTGGCCCTCCTTTTTATTGAGGCCCGCAGTTCTTTCTTGGAGGCGTCTCTGCTGCTGTTCTCTTTCCTATATTGTCCCTGATCTCAGTGGTCTCTAGCGATCCGCCCTCCACCCCCGCCCTGGGCTTCTTGGATTAAAGCAAATCCACTCCTACTGTCCTCAGGATAGAGGCAGCTGGTGGCATAGTGCTGGGTTCGAAATTGGGAAACCCTGCATTCTAATCCAGACTCAGACAATTCCTAGCTGGGTGATCTGGGCAGGTCACAGACTCTCTCTTCCTTAGTTACTGTGAGGATCAATGAGACCCATTTGTAAAGCACTTTGCCAATCTCCCGGTGCCTTCAGCGCTGAGCCTAGAGGGGTGTGGAGAGGACTGAATGACCCCCTGCCCCGTTCTTGGACCCTAAGCTTCCCTAAACACTGTAGCCTCAGTGCCTTTATCTCTGTTCCACAGCTCTGTGGGGCGCCTCGTGCTTGGCATCCCAGTGCCCCTGAGCCCTGGGAGTCGGAGCCCTCTGGATCAGAGGACAGATAACAGTCAGCTTTCTCCATTGGGAGCGAGCCCCCATCATTCCTTTCACTCAGGATCTTCACTGAGTTTTGGGGCACTCTCCCTCTCTCCCTGTCCCTCAGAGGGGCCTCCTCCTCATCATTTCTCAGAACTTCAGAGCAACTTCAGGTGCTCTTCTGGTCCTTGGTTAACCATCATCACCTCAGTTACTGAGACTTAGCCCTTCAGCGGGACTGGTTCGTGATCCCTGAGTGCAGTGTGGTGCAGTGGGGAGAACACTTGAGTCAGAGTCTGAAAACCTAGGTTGAGTTGGAGTGCTGGCATTTGCTACTTGTGGGGTCCAGTGCAGGTCACCCAGCTGCTCTGTGTCTCTGTTTCCTCACTTATAAAATAAAGGGTTGAACTAACTTCTCTGAGTTGATGGCCCTGTGAGTCTCTGACTTGGGCATCTCTGCATGGGTGATTTTGCACCTGCAGACAGGGAGGACCGCCCCCCCCCCCCACCGTGTCCATTCACTGGAGGCCCTGCCCAGCACTTGCATCACCCTGGCAGTCAGGTCCGACTGATTTGTGACATGGGCTGAATGGCACATTCATGATTCACTCCGGGACCCCAAGGGGAGGGAAGGCTGGCTTTCCGGCTTCTGTTTCTTGTTTACAAAGATGGCCAGTCCAGGTGTGTGTGAGTAAGTCCTTCCACTCTTCCTGAGTGACCCAGTGTCTATTTGACCCCCTTGTTTTGTAGAGAAGGAAACTGAGGCCTTGCCCAAAGGGACAGGTGCAATAAATACCTGAGGCAGCAGAATTTGTACCTAGGTCCTGTGATTCTGCCATGGATGAGTGTGGCCTAGGGCTGGCCACTGAGGGGAGGGATGGTAAATTGAAGTTGGGGGATGGGAGGAGGTGGCTATCTGCAATGCCCCTACAGCCCCGGCCAGCCAAAGAATGTGCTAGGGCACCATGAGTCTAGGTCTATAAATAGATTTATTACGGTATACCAAGAGCTAACCAATAAACATAGCTATGTACAATCCTGTACCAGAGAACCCTGTTCAGAGAGCTCACAGAAATTGCCAGCTTTGCTCCAGTGTGACCGATGAGAAGAGGAAGTGAATTAGACACATCGTCAGTCATCGCCTGCACTCCGTCCTGCCGGGATGCTGGCTGGGCAGCCCTCGGAGGCAGACGCTCAGTCGCGCTGGCGCTGACGGCCGCCCCGCACCCAGTGTAACATGAAGACGCGATGACAGAGGACGGGTGGAGTTTCATTGTGCTTATTACTTTAAAACAAAAAAAGAATAAATAATCTCCCACATCACTGCATAACCAGGATCGGGCGGCAAGGTGCAGCCAGACCCTGCAGATCGGAGGTCGGAGTGGGGGCTAAAATCCTGGGACCCGGAGATTTTGTCCTGTCCGTGTCTCCGTGTCTGACCCATGGTCTAGAAGCCAATGGGTGGTGGGGGCCATGCTCCCCCTGCATACCTCTCCTAATGCCCAGTGGCCATCCAGGGGTGGAAGGGGGGCATTCTGGCCAGCCCATCCCTGGCTGGAGAGGCCCGGCCCAGAGCTGCCTCTTGGGGGTCACACTCTGTTGTCACGGACTAGTTAAAAATGTTAAAAGGCTGTCCCCATCATGAGCTCTTGTGGGAGCCATTCAATATATAGCTATCAATATCAAAAATAATTTCCTGTGCTTTGTAGACAGGTGCTCCCCCTCTGCCCCCTCCTCAGCCTGGTCCCCCCAGCCTCCCCAGGGGCACCCCCACAAGGCACAGCTTCCACAGGCTGCTGGGCTATAAAGGTTCCCAAAAATAAAGATAGGGGTGTGGCCCCCGAGAGCAGCCAGGAATCTCTAATGTGTGTAGAAAAATTAGCGGGATGGCCCTGTTTGCTCGCTTCCTCCCACCCCCTGAGGACGCAGGGATCAGTCTCTCATCCCCACCCCTTCCTCTCCTTTCTGTCCCCCAAAGTAGCCTTTTGCTCTTGCAAAAGTCAGGAATTCATAAGGGAGTGGAGGAAGCAGGCCTGGCTGCCAGCCTTTCCCGCCAATCTGCACGGGGGTGGGGGCCGGGCTGCTCCGTCCCCCTCCCCTGATGCCGCTGCCTCGCCCCCACCCAGAGCCGTGGATGTGGCTCTGCTCCCAAGCGCGTCCAGGGCTGCCGTCGGCCCCCAGAGCCTGGCTCTGCAGCGCCCCGGACCCCAACACCAGGCAGGCGTCTCCACCCAGCTGCTGAGAGCCTGAGATGGTTTGAAAAGCGGAGCTTGGACTCGAAGTGAGTGAGGGCATTGGGCCGGACTGCGCTGGCCCAGCGTGGGCTCACAGGGGAGAGGGAAGGAGGCCGCCTCCCTCCCACCCCACTAGTAAAAAAAGAGGGAGTTTCTATTGCACCTGGGCTGGCTGAAGCCTGGACTCTGGGAAGGGCGCGAATGCCCCCAGGCCCGCACGCGAGCATCCCTAGCATGGAGCACCAGCCGCGCGGCTCCCTGCGGTCGGGTGCGGGCGACTGTTCTACATTCGAGGTAGAGAATGCTCTCGAGTCCAGTGCAGGGGGTTCTGCGGCCGGCCGGCCGTCGAGTCACGCTTCTCGGCATCGCGGTGAACGTCGCGTTGTGTGTGGCCTGCCTCCCCAGCCGTGCCCGCAGCCCCCCACGCGTGTCCTGGGCCCTCATCCACTCTGGATGTACTTCTTGATCACCACGCAGCCGTGCCGGAAGACGGGGCAGGGCATGTGTGGAAGGAGGGTCCATGTGTTGGTGGCCGGCTCGTAGGCCTCCATGTTGCCCAGGGCCGGCCCCTCGCTGCTGACGATGCCACCGGTGGCGTAGATCTTCCCATCCAGCACAACAGCGCTGTGGAGGAGAGGGAACGGGAAGTCAAACCCCGGCATGCAGCGGATGTCCCCACAGCCCCTGGGGCCCCTTCAGTATCCACGGCTGGGGCATCCAGCCCATGCGCCAGGCAAGTCAAGAGAGTGGGAGAGGCCAAAGGGGGAATGGGAGCTAGGTCTTAGGACTCTCGGGGTCATCTGGTCTACGTCCTGCCTTCGACGCACAAGGAAACTGAGGAAGCCCAGAGAAGTGAGAGAGGAGAGGGAGAAGACCCCTACCCATCTCCCCCGCCCCCACCCCCGGCTAGAATGGGGCAGAATCTCTCTCATGAGGTACATGAGCCCCTCTAACTGACAATAGGAGGAAAGTGAGATGCTGGCCAGGCCAGACTCGGCTCACCCACTGTTGCAGAAAGGGTCTGTGTGGACACATGCATGCACGTGCACACACATGTGTGCACACACGCACACGCACATGATGTGTGCATGCACATGTATGTTTGTGCACATGTGTATAAGTGCACTGCACACTTGTGCATGTTAACGCATGTTTATGCAAGGTGTGCATGTGTGTTAGTCTGCACACGTACACAGTGTATTGTGTATGCATGTTCGTGTACATGTGCATGTATTAATGCAGATGTCTGTGCATGCTTGTGCACATATGTAAGTATGTATATTTGTGCACACGTGCATGTTTGTGCACGTGTGTGTGTATGTTCGTGCATGTGTTTGTGCACATGTGTGTGCAGGTGTGTTTATGCATCCTTGTGTGGAGCAGCATGTGTCCCAGCTGCCCTGGGGTATCAGGAGAGAGGCCTGGAGTCAAATTTCTGCCTTTCAGTACAGAAGGTGATCTGGGCTAACCCCTCTGCCCTGTCCCAGCATCTGGCTCACCTGCAGAATTGCCGGGAGTGGTTCATGTTGGGCCCCGCCTTGATATTGCCTTTGTCTGGGTCATAGATGGTGGTGGCCCGGGCGTAGGCACCCCCCAGGATGAAGATGAAGCCATTGAGGGTAACGGCCGGAGCGTATTTGTTATCTGGGTGGGGAGAGAAGAGCAAAGTCATCTGAGGCTGGGAGGGGAAACTCTGGGCCCCCATCTCGGTCCCTCGGCCTCTGCCCCAGGCCCCAGATCATCATAGAGGATCCTCAGTGATTGTCTAGTCCAAACCCCTGACTTTACAGATGAGGAAACTGAGGCCCAGTGGAAGCTCTAGCGCCAGAGGCGACACCAGATTCCAAGCCCCCATCTGCCATGTCAGCTCCTGTGTCGGGGGTGGGGGGGGGGAGCCTCTAATCAGTACATGTCCCAGTTGAAGTGGAGTGTCCTGGAGATAGCCGCCCCTCACTGTCCCCCACAGCCCACATGCCATCTGCCTGTTGCTCACCAATCATTGGGGACTCAATGAAACTCCACGTGTTGGTCTGCGGAATGTAGGACTGCAGCACCCCGGCAGCCCGGCCAGCCTCATTTACCCCTCCAAACACGTAGATCTTGCCGCCGCACACAGTAGCGGCAGCTGAGTGCACAGCCTTGGGGAGAGGGGCCACCGTCTCCCACTGGTTGGTGATAGTGTCATACCTGTGGGCAGAGGACAGGGCCCTGATCACACCCAGGCCACTGGTGGGGATGCTTAGGGAACACTACCCAACAGGTCCTTGTCCTTCCCCCCTGCATAACTGGGGCACTGGTGAGGCCCTGGAGGTCCCTCCAGACTCTCCCCTCAGCCCCCACTCCATTGGGAAGCTCACACACTTTTCCTTCTATGTAGGAAGGTCCCCTCCCCTCCCTCTCCTCACATTTCCCCACCTCTCCTCCCCTTTGCTCCCTCAATGTTCTCCTCTCTGTCACCACCTACAGCCCCCTTTCCCTCAGGTCTCAGTCCTGGATTTCTATCATCCTTTAGAGGTCCAGCTTGAGCTAAGGACAAGAAGGGTCAGCAGGGTCTCCCACCATGACCAAGGATGCTTATCCACATACGTGGACCCTTCCAAAGACTTCTATGTAAAGTGATTTCTATCTAATGTGAATTTGCCTGCAGATGTACAGAAAGGAGGTAGGTTGGGGGCATCTGCCCATGGACGGAGGGGGCTGGCGCATGGTTCATGGACATGTGAGGGCTGGGGACAGAAAAATGAGACAGGAGGAGGAGCACACGGGGCCTGAGGCCAGACACGGAAACAGACAGGCGAGGATGGTGACATGCAGTAGCCAGAAACAGATATATGGCACCAAATGTAGACAGACAGAAGATGGCCTGACATGCAGAGTGGGGCCAAGGTTTCCTCTCTTGCTCCAGAGGTCTCAAGCCAAGCCCCTGATCTGACAGTGGTGGTGCTGTCTCTCTGCCTGTCCTTCTGCCTTTACTTGAAGGGTTTTTGGGGGGTGGGAGACCATGGAGTGCCAGGTCAAGGGGCAGGAGCAGACAGAGCCCAGAACTTGTACAGTAAAGTTAACATAAGTGGGTTTTTTGGAATGCAGATCCCTTTCAGAATTTTTTAATTGAAGTTGAATTTGCCTAATAGAAATTCCCATAAAGTTATTGCATCTTTAAGGACCGAAGAACTTCGGACAGTTCCCATTTCACTGTCTTTCTCTGAGAGTTTAACTGTGGTTCTGTTAACTGTGAATGCTGGAGAGGAGATCCAGAGAAGGGGACTAACAGAACTTAGGTTCTGGGAAGTCATACATTTATTCCTTATGTTGTGAAGAAACATTAAGAGAATTCTCGGGGAATCATTTTCATTGGTATCCTGAAAGGAGGAAATGGTAGGGCTACAATTCCAGAATTGAGGAGCACTTAGCAGTTGTGGTTCTAATTAAAGTATCTTTGGCTGTGATCTTTCTCACAGTAGATAGATTGTAAAAAATTACGTCTTTGTTTTATTCTTGATTACATTGTTAATAAAAAGCATACACAGTAACTTTGATGTTTAAGTTTAGAGATGAGTAGTTTTGAGACATATATGTGTACAAAATATAATGTATATAACATGTATAATGTACATAATGTTTTGTATATATGGAGAGAGACATGAGAAAAACTTAGGGGAAAAGAAATTTCCATTTTGTTAAATGACATTTAGTAAGCTAGAATGATTAATCAAACAATTGAGAGATGCTGAACTTTTAGTAATTGGTAAGGATATATCAGAACATATCCCTTCACTGCCATAAAGCCTGGGATGAACATGAATCATGAAAATGAACCAGTAGCAGGTGGTTAGAGAGGTGAGCAGCCCACACAGACTACATGGAGAGGGCTGGACACGAACATTCCTGCTACAGAGATTTTTTCAAAGCAATATTGGGAGAAAGAGGAGAATGGAGGAAAGGCAGCTGCTGGCGAGGGGAGGTGTCAATGAAAAGGGGGAGCTGCCCAACTTTGCATTTGCTTCTTTTGCTCAGGAGAGGAGACCTTCTTTAGGCTAAAAGGGAAAGAACAGAGAGGGCTAGTGGGGAGGTGGACCTAAGGGGCCACAGATGGAAAAAATAATTCCATCTTTATTTTCACTGACCTCTACATGAAATTCAGCGTTGCCTCCAATTAGGAATATTTAAAATTCTGAGAAGCAGCATAGGCTTCCCCAAACCACCAAAGGGTCCATGCCACAAAAAATTAAGCACCCCTGAGATGCTAAGACAGAAGCCGCTAGCTTGACAGATTCCAGTCAGCCGAGATGGATTTGAAATGAACTGAATGGCTCTGCCCAAATATTAGTCATTAATGACTTCATGTCAGCCTGGGAGGGGGTCTCTAGTGCAGTAACCCAGGAAAAACTCCTGAGGTTAGGCTCAGGCCCTCAGGCAGTGTGTGGAAAGAAACAGGGGAAGCCAGGAACCCTAGAGTCTTGTATTCAGACCTGGGCAGTCATATCCTTCTTCCCAGCTGGAGATATGCCAGGCAGGGCAGGGCAAGGCTAGGCCAGAGAATGAAGGGCAGCTGATGATGTGTTAATGTCCAGGGGAGTCCACAAGCCTTTCTTAAGCACCTGCTATGTGATGGGCACTATCCTGTGCTCAGTCAAAGACTGGTCCCAGCCCCTGCAGAGTTGGAAGGGAGGGATGTGAGAAGGGCAAGGCAGAGCCAGGAAGGTGAGCTGAGCAAGCCGGCCTCTCTGCTCTGTTGGCTTGTTTCCAATCATCGAATGATGCTTAGTATTTGTCACTGAGTGTAAGTTTTCAAAATGAGTAATCAACATTTTAGAAGATTAAAAACAGCCGACAAGAGCTAGGACAGGATGACAGATCCAGTCCGCTTTCCTCCCACACAGAGAATATTCTTTTCTCCATGTGTTTATTATTGGATGACAAATGGCCTTGAAGTCTGGCTTGATCAGAAAGCTGATGCTCCCGCTGGCTGTTCTGTTCAGACTCACAGCCATGTGGGAGGCAAGGGACTGGAGACACGGTGGCGGCTGGTTGCAGCATTATGTCATGGCCGCTGCGCACTGTTGATCATCCTCGGGCTGGTGGGCGAGCACCAAGGCCACCATGAGGCCCCCTCGGTGCTCAGTCTGGCACAGGGCTTCTGAGGCCTTCCTAGGCTCAGACTAGGCTTGGAGGAAGAGCCCATCTCCTCAGGAGCTGAGCCCTTGGTGCAAGAGCAGAGAGAGCCCCTATTCTGGAGCTGAGCTTCATCTGGCCCATAGACAGAAGGCCCCACACCATCACACACTTTCTCTAGTGGTCTCTGAGGAGAAGGAGCACCAGAGCACAGCAGGGCAGGGTGGGAGAGGAGAGAAGACCCCTCTCCCATCCTGCAGGCATATTATGGGCAGCCTCGCACCCAAACTGGGGAGGACAATTGGAACTTGGCGGAGGGTGCCTACAGCCTGGCCTGCTCTTGGTTTGGAATGTAGAGAGATCTAGGATTCAATCCTTTTTCATCTCTCTCTACTGTGACTCTCTCCGCCTTGGACGACCTTGGGTTCAACAGATGTCCCCGGACATGACTTTCTCTTGTATGGTGTGATATGAACAGTGCTAGACATGAAAGCAGAGAACCTAGGCTCAAGTTCTGGATTTTGGGCTCTGTGGGATTTCCCTGGGGCACCCTCTCTTTCCCCACCTGTTGTACTAAAGGATCCTCAGGGATGCTTTCAGCTCTAAACTGATGCTCTTTGGTGGCATAGAACCACAAGTAAGTTTCTCTGCAGAGACAGGATCACTTCTCCCTAAAGCCCATTCTCATAGGGTTGGCAGCCTTGGCAACTCCGTGGTGATGACCCTTCTAGAGGGCAGATCCCTTCTGGTGAGAGCTACCACAGAGGAGGCAGAACCACATAGGACAAGACCACCAGGCTGGGCTGGGGGGCTCTGGGGCCCCTCACCTCCCATCCTGAATCTTCTGTCTCTTCTCTTTTTGCTTCTTTGGAGGGACTCACCACTATGGAGTCATGGGCTCCTCCTCTGCTAGTTGTTTCTGCTATGCAGGTCACCCAGTCTCTAGACTCCTCCAGCTGTTCTGGAATCTGCTGCTGCAATCCCACACTCTCTTGGGAACCCATGGGGTTCTGTGTTTGGTCAGTCAGATTTCCATTGTCTTTCAATATTTATTTAGAGATGAATGAAATCTTGTAGATGTTTTGTTACTCATCTTTGCTTCTGAATTTACTCTTTCTCCCAATGATTTATCTGCTGGTGCTCTAAGTTTTCTTTCTCTTGAAATGTTTGTGGTCTGACTCTTCCCCTGCCTCGGGTAATCTTTGGGCAGACGGGACAGGCCTTAGCTGGGTGCCAGTCCTTAACCCTCAGGCCTGGTACAGCCCCACATCCTGGACTTCTGCTGGCCTCCTGCACAAGCCTGTGTTACCTCCATCCTTTTGTTCTCTGGCTGGACCGAGTCAGTGTCTGCTTCTTTTTGCCACCTTGGGGGAAGGTAGGAAGAATTTCTTCCACCTTGGGGTGCCCTAACCCAGCTACTGTACAAGGCTGAGCATAGCCACCCCAGGCAGAGCATGGCCCTCCTCTCCTATAGCTCTCTCTCTTCTGTACATGACTGGGCAGAATTGAGTTCCACTTCTTGTTGTAGCAAAATATTGTTGGGTAGTAAGGTCGGGGTGGCATGGGCAGCAGCAGGGAGATTCCTGAGCAGGTGTCAAAACACAAGCTGGGGGGTCAGGTGGCTTGAGTGTAGAGGCTAGTGCGGAAGGGTGCTGGGGCACTAGGGGTTAGCATTCTTTACTGTTATGCCACAATGGATCTACCCTCTCCTGGGCAATTTTTCTTTGTTTTGGAGTTAGTAGGGACAAGAGAAAATGGCTAGGCTGCCATCTTGTTGACTGCATGACCTAGAAGCTCCAGATCACTTTTTAAAGTCCACAGGAGAACCTTCACCTGCGAGCCTCCATTTCTTCAACCCTGTCCTCCTTCCCTCACACCTCTTAGGATTAAGTATGACCATGAATTCCAGCCAGGCTGGCCTCCATCAGGCTTCCTGTCTCCTCATGGGAACCCTGAGTCTGGGATCCCCAGAAGGTGTGTTTTCTAAAGGATCCAAAGACCACAAGAGTCTGGGAAGGGCATGAGCCTGAGGTAGCTATTTCTCCAAGCCTAGTGGTTTTCAGTTGGTGGACCTTCTTGCCAGTTCAGTTCATTTCAGTTCAGTTGTTTTTCAGTTGTGTCTGACGCTTTGTGAGATTTTCTTGGCACAGATCCTGGAGTAGTTTGCTATTTCCTTCTGCTCATTTTACAGATGAGAAAACTGAGGCAAACAGGGTTACATGACAATGTCTGAGGCTGGATTTGAACTCCTGAAGATGAATCTTCCTGACTCCAGGCCCAGCACTGTGTGCACTATTGGTACCCCCTAGTGGCCAGGAGCATGATTCAGGTCTTCTCAGTCCCTGCTCTGTAACAGTTTCATTGCAAGCTCCTTATGGCCACAGCACCCTGACAAAAAAAAGTTTTCCTCAGGGTGTGAGGTGGAAGCACCCCCATTTGAGAGACTGAACGGAGGCAGAACTCAAACCCAAGGGTCTTGGTGCCATGCCCTCCCTTTATCTGCTAGTCTGAAGGGGATGGGGCAATGCAGCCAAGTCACATATGGGAAGGAGTGTGATGGATGGGGCTAGGACTGAGCTGAGCAGAACCCTAGGAACAGATGGGGAGAGAGTGCACCCTGATGAACAGGGGAATTCAGGAAGGCTTCCTGTGGGAGGAGACACTCTGGGCTTTGAAGGAGAGGAAGGCGGGTCCTTCAGGGGTGGGTGAAGCAGAGAGAGGCACTGGGGAAGAGCCAGAAGGTTAGTGTGGTGGGCCTGCAGTGTGTGTGTGTGTGTGTGTGTGTGTGTGTGTGTGACAACTACACAGTGGAGGCCTCAGAACACCGGCTGCACATGTTTGTACTTGATTCCAGGGGTGACAGAGAAATATTGAAGACTGTGCAGCAGAGAAGGGTTGTGGCACATGGACTAGAGCAGGGAGAGCAGTGAGGAGGGGCCTCTGAAGGGCCTGTCGGGGCCCCAGGCCAGGCCAGGGGAGGCAGAGCTGCCCTGCCTCGATTTTTGTGAGGGTCCAGCTCTAACTCACTTCTTCCCTGCCTAAATCACTGCTGGCCACTGGATGCCAGCTGTGGTAATAGGCCAAGTGTGGCCAGGCTTCCTTTTGTAGCCACTGGGTGCTGAGCACACTCCTAAGAGGGCCAACTGGGCTGGGCCCCCTCCCCCAGGATGTTCCCTCACCTTTCTACATGGTCCACATTGCCAGCCACACCAAGGCCTCCCAAGGTGTAAATCTTGCCATCATACACCAGGCTGTTGTGCCGGCATCGAGGGACTGTCATCCTGGAGACCAGGTTCCAGTTGTCAAGCAGGGACATGTAACACCAGACATCAGCCAGAGTCACCCCTGACTCCATCCCACCTAGAGTTGGCAGCGGGAGTCAGAGAGAAGCCTGTGGTGAGCATAGGGGTGAGGAGACCAGCCGTCCCTCTGATCTTGCCCCCCACCTCACGCTCTTGGACCAGAAGCTGCTGTCCCTGGATGTCCCTCCCCCCTGCCCCGATCTGTACCCCCAACCTGGGGACATAGACCAGGAGCTGCTGTCCCTGGGTCCCTCAGCCTCAGGGCCTCACCAGAGAGGTAGACGTTGTCCCCAGCACTGACAACACTAAAGAACTCTCGATCGTAGAAGGGTAGCGCTGCCAAGGGGTACCACTTGTTGTTCTGTGGGTTCCAGCAGGTGACAGCAGCCAGTGACCGTTGGCTCATCCCTACCATCTGTCGGCCCCCAACGAGGACGATGACCTCAGCCACACCTACAGGGACACAGCATCCCAGGGAGCCCATCAGGACACTCCCTGTGCTCCAGGACAACGCTCACTCTCCCCAGCCCCCAAAATGCCATCAGAATGTGTATGGGCATGCATGTGCGTGTGTGTGTGTGTGTGTGTGTGTGTGTGCGTGTGTGTGTGTGTGTGTGAAAGAGAGAGATGTAGGGAAGGAACAGAGAGAGAGAAGAGGGGGGAGGGAGGAAAAAAGAGGGGGGAAGGGGAAAGGAGGGAAGAAAGGGAGAAGAGAGGAAAGAGAAAAGGACAGAGGGGGAGGGACAGGGAGAGAGAAAAGAGAGAAGAGGAGAGAGGAGGGAGGGAGGGAGAGAGAGAGAGTGAGAATGAGAGAGAGAGAGAGATCCAGCCAGCCATAGCCTGGTGTGTATAGGTATGAGAGAGCAGTTGGCTGATCTGCCAGCCGGAGCCTGACTGGCCCGGTCCCCAGGGTCCAATCCCCCTGCCCAGCCCACTTCCCAGGCCATACCTGCTGAGAGCCGGGGCCTCGTACGGGGTGTCTGCATCTCTTGGCGGGCATGCGGCAGCATGTGGTAGCGCTTGGCCTCATTGACCAGGTCCCTGCAGGCCTCAGATGACTTGATCAGCTCCTCATTATCCACCACATTGAGCAGGTAGCTGGGGTGGATGAAGGGCAGGCGCACCACGGCCAGCAGCTCTGCAGCATGCTAGGGAGAGAGGCGGCTAGCTAATCCCTGCCCCAGGAAGGCAAAGGGGCCAGGGAGGGAAAAGGGATCACTGTCTTGGAGGGAGGTGGTGTGGGAAAAATTTGTGGCATTGTTTGACCCTTCCCCTGCATGGCTGAGAGACCAGATGATTTGTTTAATGCTTAACTCACAACTTAGGTTATGCTAACCAGACACCTTTCAGTTTCCTCCTTCTACCCACGTGTCTTGTCTAAAAATTGCCCCCATGCCCCACTCGATTAGCTGTTGTTTTCTTGGTCCTCTGAAGCCTAAGAGATGCCTGCCTTCCACAGACTCTGGGGGAAAGTCACCCCTGGATCAGCTCTCCCCTCTGCTAGACGACTTTACAAACTTTCTACATTATTTCAGTTCTGGCTTTTGTTCTCTGCTGCACATGGTGTTATTAGTGGGATCTCCAAGGATCGACCCAAGGGGTCACACTGACTGCAGCTTGAGAGCCAGGTGATTAAAGTGGAATGCAGTCCTTGTTCCTTTGTTTGAATACTATATAATGTCGGGGGCCACGTGACACCTTGATGCAAAGAATTTCTTTGGGTAGGCACCCTTACTGACAAATCAGGAGTCCTCTTGGATTGATCAACCCAGGACTCTGGCAGCAGAGCTCAGTCTGTGTCATTCAGCCGGTAGTCCTCTGGCAGATCTCTCTGTCTCCATCCATCACCTTTGTTTTCTCTTCCTGTATTTCCCTCAACCCTCCTACAACTATTAGAAATAAGCCAGATACCTGTGTCTGTGACTATATACTGGCAGCAGCCACCCAGGCATCCTGGGAGGTATGGGGCTATGACTTATCAATGCTGGGAAAGGAACCCTGGATAGCATACAACCCTGGATAATCCAGACCTGCTCTGGAGTCAACACACTCAGCCCTGTGAGTTCTACAAGCAACCAGATTGAAGACAATGGATGATCACTCATGCACACACTCACGCAGCACATGTCAAGTGCCTGTTGGGCATCAGCAGGTGGTCACTGTGCTTGGAGTTGGGGATACAGACAAAAGTGAAGAAACCCTGTCCCTTCCACTATGTGTGTGTGTTGGCGGGGGGGCGTCGATGAGCCAGTGCACAGAGCAGTCTGCCTGCCATGGAGTGAGGGGGCCTTTGGGTTTGGTTGGGGAACCAGAATGGGATGAGGGCAGCATTCAAGGGATACTATTTCATGAGAACCTTGTCTCTTCTCTTTGGCTGACTTGTCACTGCCTGGTGCTGTGATGCTGGTGAGAGAAGGGAGATAATGCTATAAAGGGAAAGCCCTTAGGCCCTCCCCATCTGAGGCTGACAAGTGGCCAACCCATAAAAATGGTCTTTGATTCCCTACCTCAGTTTGTTTTCTGGTTTTAGAAGGAGACTAAAGACAGCTGTGACCATGTGAGCTCTGCGGGGCCTGGAGAGTGAACCACCAGGTCTAGGAGTGGAGTCAATCCAGCCTGGAGGCCCCAGAAATAAGGGGGAACCCTTTGGGCCCCAGACTATGGGTGACTGAGACGAGGCTCATCCAGCAGCCAGGCTTCGTTTGGCTGGGAATGGAAGTCTGAGCCATGTTCCCCATAGACCCCAGGGGAGAAATAGAGAATGTACTCCCAAAGAACTGGGGGAAATGTGCTTCCTTTCTTGCTACCTTTTCAAAGTAAATATCTTTTTGTAGAAGCTAATTGATATTAATTGGACAAATGGAAGTGGGGTGCTAACTGTGAGGGGGGATACACCAGACTGGGTGCCCAAGACAAAAGCATCAGAGAAAAGACACCCCCAAACCCACCAGAAGCCCAAGAAGAGATGTGTGGGCCCCAGAGTAATTGCTACAACTACATGGGGAGACAACAGATTTATGTGTAAGTATATATATAATAGATAAAGAAATGAATACAATGTTATTTGGGGAGAGGGCATCAGCAGCTGGAGGGATCTGGAAAACCTTCATGGAGGAGGTGGTGCCCAAGGAGAGCTTTGAAGGAAACTCTGAGAGTCAGAAATGAGGAGAGAGGGCATTCCAGTTATGTGAAACAGCCTGTGCAAAGGCCTAGGTGGGAAATGGAATGACAAGAAGGCCAATATGGCCAGACCACAGACAAATGGAAAAGAGTAATGTGTAGGAAGACTGGGAAGGTAGGAAGGGGCCAGGTTTGAAGGATGTTAAATGCTGAAGGCATCTCCAACTGCCTTCTAGACATCTCCAACTGGATATCCAATGGTCATTTTAAAGACAATGTGTCCAAAACAGAACTCATGATCTTTCCCTCAAACCCTCCCCAACTCCCACCTTCTCTATTAACGTAGAGGACAACAGCCCTGCTCCTAGCCCCTCAGACTCCCAACCTAGGAGTCATCGTGAGCTTCTCACTTTCTCACTCCTAGATCCAATATGGTGCCAAGGCCTGTCATTTCACCTCTGCAGCATCTCTGGTCAATTTCACCTCTGCAGCATCTCTTGCTGATTTCACCTCTGCAGCATCT